GGGCCTCGGGGCTGGGGTTGCCCTTGGCCTTGCCCGTTTGTGACCACTCCGTGCCTCGTAGCCGTGTTCCAGACAGGGCAGGCGGTGTCGCCCGGGCCCGGGGAGCTCTGGTGGGAGGCCGTCCCACTGACGGAAAACCTGAGGCCACATGCCCCTCCCCCCGCAACGAACCAGCCCGCCACGCCCAGGCCCTTCCTGGGCCATTCCTAGTACGCCACTCTCTGGGAGTCCCTGCGCCTGCTGTGTGGACAGGGTTTTAATTTTATGATGTGAATAAACCTCTGGACAGTGGCCTCGTTGCCTTATTTCACTTATTTTTGTTGTATCTTAAAACTTCACTTGAAATCCCTCCCTGGGGTGCCAGAGTCCCCGGGTCTCAGTAGGCGATGCCATCTGGATGTCCCGTGGGGTGCGGCCGCTCACCCCTGCAGCGGAGGTCAGGGGAGGGGTGTGTGACCGGCCAGGCGGCTGCAGCGGGGCCCCTGGCTGAGCCCCTGGGGGCTGCTGAGCAAGGTCGGGGGGCCGCGGCCACCCCCGGCGACGCGGTTCGCACGCAGACACTGCAGACCCGGGAGCCTCGGCGGGACGGCTGTGTAGCAGATAGCGGGCAGGCACCTCCTCTGCACAAACGGATACGTCGACAGTCTTCTGGGTGGTGGGAGGGGCCCCTTTCTCTAACTCGGACTCACAGAAGCGTCTCCGCACTGGCCACCTTGGGGGGGGGTGCGTTATTTCCCGCGGCATTCCAGAGAAGCAATGCACTGGGCAACGTTAACAAAGGTGTGACGAGTGCCTACAATTCCCGGCCACAGGGCCCGCCCGCGGGGTGCAGCGGCAGGGACAGGGGACCAGGAGCCTGGTCCCTGCATCCGAACGGGGACGTCGGATGTGGAACAACCGAGCGCACGCTCGCGCAGGCGCTCACGGCTGTGGCAGGTGCCCGGACGGGCCGGTCTGGGTGTCACGAGAGCCTCCAGTGGGGACGGGAGCAGGTCCATGGGGGCCAAGGGGGGCTCAGGGGGTGACGAGGACCAGAGGGCAGGGGAGGTGGGGTGACGGGGCAGGTGGCCTGTGGGAGGAACCCGAGGACGCTGAGGGTCCCCTGCGCGGAGGAGACATGCGCACCCACGGAATGGTGGGTTTGTGTAGCGCAGGGACAGTGCGTGAAATGCACTGCATTGTGGAGAGAGGAAACGACTTCCTTGGGACCCCCTGTCGGTCTTTCCCGTCACGGCAAGAGCAGAGGCCCACCCGGGCCTGCGGTGCTGTGAACAGCTCTGTAACGTGCGTTTCCTACTCTCCGTTTTTTCACAGAGAGACTGTGGTCCTTACCCAGAGCTTTGGACAGCAACAGTCTCCCAATGCAACGTAGTCACACGGCCTTGTTTTAATCACAGGTCTCCCTCGCCTTGCGTGGTGGCGCGGGACCGCACCACCCGCGCGCGCAGAGACCACAGCGATGTCAGCAGTCGGCGGGGAAACTGGGTTTGCTTGCGGACGTCAGAAAGTCTTGTCGGAGCATTGAAACTCTCTCACTGTAGATTACAAGTGTATGGGGACGTGAAAATCTCCCCAAAGCAGTGCTTGCCTCTTAGTGCGTCACCACGGAGAACGGCAGCGGCTCTGAGATGGGAAATGGTTTCAGTAAACCACGCCGGCGCTCTGACCTCATCGTGCTGTGTACTTTTATTCCTGGGGACTCTCTCTAAGGACGAAGCTTCCTCTCTCCCCTGTCGTTTCTATCAGCGAGGACTCAGGAGCTTATTATATATATAACACGTGTGATAGGTATCACATGTAGTAGGCAAGCCATATAGGAAGTAGATTGTCTGTATGTGATACATTGTTACAACAGGTCACACCACTGTCTGTGTGTGATACATTGTTACAACAGGTCACAGCACTGTCTGTGTGTGATACATTGTTACAACAGTCCACAGCACTGTCTGTGTGTGATACATTGTTACAACGGGCCACAGCACTGTCTGTGTGTGATACATTGTTACAACAGGCCACACCACTGTCTGTGTGTGATACGTTGTTACAACAGGCCACACCACTGTCTGTGTGTGATACATTGTTACAACGGGCCGCACCAGCTGCTCACAAGGCTGTTCAGTCGACCCAGGTTGGCTAGCGGCAGCTGCTTCAACCTGGCTCCTGGGGCCTCGAGACATTTTCCTGAGCATGTTGTCACCTTCTGGCTCACGGTACATTGTGGGCTCCGTGCCCTGTGCTGCCTGTGGGGGGCCCTGGCCTGGGCCATGTCCCCCCTGGACCCATGTCCTGCCCTGGGGGGGTGGTGTTTAGACTCACGCCTGGCTGTAGCTACGCGGAGTGCTCGCGGCGTCATTGTTTGTGTCCTGTCCCTGTGAGCGACCAGAGCTAGGGACGGCGCTGTGCACACCCACCGGCACACACAGGTAAACACGTGCCCACCCCTCCCCCGAGTTCGTGGCGGTGCCTGCAGTTCCGACTCAGGCCCCGGAGCCCGCGGCCCTGTCCGTGGGTGGCCTCCCCGCTCCGGCGGCCAGGAGCCTGGCGCTGTCCCTCAGCGTGCGTTGTTTGCCCAAACCTAGAATCAACCAGAGTATTTCTGGGCTTGCTAACCCCATACCGCCATGGAAGGCAAACGTAACTAGAATTCAGTATGTTTACAGATATTTTTATCTTTAGCCTGAGACACACAATCAACATAATATGCGGGAAAGTTACATGCGAGTCCTTTAAATAGCTTAAGTAGCTTTTAAGAGTTTAAAGCCCTGGAGACTTGTCCGTGCTCACCCTGCAGGTCCAACACAGGTGGGCGGGGCCTTCGTGCCTGCCGCAGCCGGACTCCGGGGCCCGGGATGGAGCGTGGGGCCCATGCAGCAGCCTCGGTCACTGGGGCAGCGACAGGGAGAGACAGCGTGGGGTCTCGTGATCTTAGAGCTTCCGGTTGGAGGCGAGCGCATCATTGCTCTCACGTTTCATTGGCCAAATCATGTCATGTATAAAACATCTTTTTATATTGGGTTGGCATCGTTTTCAAAGATACAGTATAAAGTTGGTGTTTTCTATCGACAACATCTATTATCTTCAGGCTTAATATCAATGAAAGACAACCTATAAACGGAATAATACTAGCAGCTACCTTGGGAGAGTTTTAGAGAAAAATGAGTGAGCAATTAATTGTTAATACAAGTAAAGTGCCTAGAACTCTTCCTCCCCCTCCTCTCCTCATTATTTAAAAAAAGATTTTATTTATTTACTTTTGGAGAGAGGAGAAGGGAAGGAGAAAGAGAGGGAGAGAAATATCCATGTGTGGTTGCCTCTCGTGCATCCCCTACTGGGGACCTGGCCTGCAACCCAGGCCTGTGCCCTGCCTGGGAATCGAACCAGTGACCCTTATGGTTTGCAGGCCTGTGCTCAGTCCACTGAGCTACACCAGCCAGGTTGGTGGGGGCGGCTGCTGCTGCTGCTGCTTCTTCTTCTTCTTTTTCTTCTTTTCCATCTTCCTTCTTCCTTTCTCCTTCTTCCTTCTTGTTCTTTTTCTTTCTTCATTTTATTAGTTTACTCAGTCTCTTACCCTTTTTCAGGCCTGGGGTGGAGAGGGAGGGGCGGACTTACCAAGCCCAATGTGGCGCTCACTAAGCGCTGAGCTGGGCCGAGGGGCCGAGCTGTGGAGGGTCCCTGGAAATAACTGTTATTTCGGTCAGTTCCGTGGGAGCCAGTCAGGAGTGCTTGGTGGCGCTCACCGTTGAGCCGGGCTGCCCGGGTGTCTGCCAGCGTCTGTGGGTGACCTCCTCTGCAGCCAGGCGCGGGCGTGGCGTCTCCTCCGAGCGCCCGAGGGCACCACGTGGTGGTTCTGTAACTCGCTCCCCCGCCAGTGTGTGAAAGCCTCCCCCGTGGTGGCTGTGGTCGCCAACTCGCGTCCTTCCCTGCGTCCCGATTCTGTTCCCAGCTCTGCACGCAGGTTGACCCATGACACTCCCAGGGTTCACGCACAGAAGGTACTCACAGGAGCCCCGGGTCTAGCCCAGGGGCCCTGGCGCAGGGAGAGGGGACTTGTGGTGGATGCTGGTAGTGGACCAGAAAGGTATTCACGCCCTGCCCCCCCCCCACTCCACAGCCGGCTCTATTACAGGAGCCACATTCCCAGCCTGCTTTGCCGCTGGCGCAGCCACGGCTCGGGCTTTGGACATCCGGTGCAAAGCAGCAGGTGCAGCAGGTGTGCTCCCGCCCGCTCAGCCTCCCCACTGCTGGGACAGTGGGAGAGATGGCTGGTGTGATGGGTGCCATTCTGCGACCCTGAGGGCTGCAGAGAAGCAGCCCTGACCCTGCTAAATGCCTGGACCGGACTCCTCCAGGCCCCTGGTTGTACGAGAAGCACACGCACCTTCGCTGGGTCACCTCGCTGGCCTCGGGTTTCCCGTGGCTGCGGCTCCACACGGCCGCCCCTGAACCAGAGTCCGAGCCCGTTTCGGACCCGGGCAGTGACAGTGGGGTCCGAGTCAGAGGACTCTCCCTTGGTGAGCGGGTGGTGGCGAGAACGGCAGGTCGGAGATGATTCTGGAGACAGCAGCTCAGAACGCTGAGCGGTCGTCAGGGGAAGAGAGGGACCGACCTGCTGTCAGCGTCCCACAACCCCCGGGCCGGCCAGCGGGGGCATCTCGGGGGTCCCTGGAGGTGTGGGGGGCGGAGGGTGCTGGTGGTCAGCTCACGGGGCCGGGGTGCTGTGGCCCATTCTCTGCCATCCACGCTCTCGCCTTCCTTCCCTGGGGCTGGGCGTGGGGGCCGGGTGCACTGCGTTGTTATTAATAAGCCCTGAAAATGGGCCACCACTGGCGTGACTAAACTCGGGAAGGGCCCTTGTGCCGTGTGAGGGACGGGCCCGCAGGACGCACAGCCTGCTGGGTGTGGCAGAGTAAGGCCTTGGGTGCCCCCCCCCCCGCTCCGCCCCACCGCACACTCGGGGGGCGTGCCCGTCGCTGACCGCGCCCCCTCTCCCCCCCATGCAGGACGCGGAGATCCTGAACACGGCCGTGCTCACCGGGCGGCCGGTCTCCGTCCCCGTCAAGGTGGTGGCCGTGCGGGAGGACGGCTCCGTGGTGGACGTCTCGGAGCCTGTGGAGTGTGCGTCCGCGGACGAAGACGTCGTGAAGGTACGGCTGCTCCCCCCCACCCCCCACCCCCCACTCCTTCTGGGCCCTTCTCCTGCCCCCGCCCTGGTTCTGACGGAGCAGAGCATGTCCCGGGCCCCAGGGGGCTGCAGCTGGGGGACCCCGGTGAGGGGTGGGCGACCGAGCACACAGCCCCGGGGGCGGCAGTGGTTTTCGTCCTCCCCCCTTTGCTCACGCGACGGCGCCCCCTCATCTCAGCCCCTGCACCCCGTCCTCGCGAGCGTCTCTGTGCCGAACGGTGGGAGTCGGCGTGTGAGGTCATCGGCCACGCGTGCCAGGTGCCAGGGAGGAGCCGTAGGCGCCGCCGAGGTGGTCTCCACGCGGGCCGGGTCCTCCGGGGCTGGCGGCACAGCTGATGAGCGTCGATGGTTAACGTTCACCGGACACTTCTCCTCGAGCGGCAGGCGCTGTCCTCGTGCGGGTGTCAGGGAGATCGGCTCATTCCGTCCTCACGACGGGCCTTGCGGACAGGTGACGGTGCCCGTCCGAGTGCCCGCAGAAGGGAAGTGCTCCCTCCGGCAGAGAAGGCGGGCGCAGGGTCCCCCCCAACCCTGCCCCGTGGCACCTCCGTGCTCCCCGAATTGCCGTGGCCTAAGGTCGCGTGGGGCACGGGGTGGGGCGTCTCAGGAGCCGGGGGCCAGGCAGCTGCGGTGTTCCCGTCAGGGCCCGTGGGTGGCAGGCTCTGCCTGGGCGTGCGGAGGGCTTGCCTCCGCCCCGTCGCCTGGAAGGCAGGTGCTTCCTCGGCTGCTGGCACGGCCGCCTCGGGCTCGGCCTGAAGGGGCACAGCCGGCGGCGGGCAGACCCGGCAGCAGGAGCCCGGGGAGGGGGTGGCTGGGCCGCCCGCCTGCTGGGAGCCCTGGGGGACGCTCTGGTTCTTGGCCTTCGCCGCATCCCAGGGGCCCGCCCTCCAGCCCCGCAGCCAGCGTCTCCTCCTGCGCGCTCTGTCCTCCGGGCCCGTCCCCACAGGCGTCTCTGAGACGCCCCCCCCGCCCCCCCCCCAAAACCCGCTCACAAGCGAGTGCTGGGCGCTGCACTGGACCCTGGCCCGGGCCCCCCGTCAGCTGCAGACCAGGCCTGTTCCCCCCTCTCCTCTGCCTGCTGGTTACCCACCAGGTGTTTGGTGGGGGGTGGGGGGGGGCGTGTGACATCAGAATGCAGCGTCACGTCGGCCACTCAGGAACTTGGATCTCGTTCGGTTGATTGGTGTCTGAGGCCCCAGGAGGACAGCCACCCAGTTTCTCCCGGGACCGCAGTAGCCGCGTGTCCGGCACTGGTGTGGGGCTCGAGGGTCGTTGGGTTCACGCTGAGAACCCGGGGAAACCTGCGTCTGCTTAGCGCCCCCTCTGGCCGCTCGGCCCGCCTGGGGTGGGGGGTTCTGAGCGAGCCTGGTGAGGCCGCGTGGGGGGCGGGTCTGTTTGCCGGGGTCGTGCGGGTCAGCCGTGCCGACCGTCTGGGCGAGACGCGTTGTCTCCGGGGTCCTAGCGGTGGCAGGCGTTAGGCGGGATGACTTTTGCGGACCACCCCACTTAATACTTATGACCCGGTGGCGCTCTGGGGGCCGTGGGGGGGGCCCAGCCAGCGGCCCAGCGGGGCCCCCAATGCGGTGTGTCCGCCCCACCGCTGGCCTCGGGGCCGTCGCCTGTGGGGTGAGTGTGCGCACCCCTCGCAGTGTGTGGTTCCCCGGCGAACTGACTGACTGCTGACTCGGAGTCTCCTGAGCGTTAAGTGACCCTTGGCCCACCCCCCCCCCGTCACCCCCCTGCAACCCCCCCACACATTGAGACACATAAGGGACATTTTCCTGACGGTCCCGGAGAGAAGGTCATCAATATTTGAGCTGCTTATTTGGAAGACGTGAGGCGAACGCAGGGGGGGACTGGCCAACAAGCGGCTGGCGGGTGCGCGTGCATTATGAGGGCCCCTCCCTGACCCGGGGGCGGGCCCAGAAGGCAGCCCCGCACTTCTGTTCCGCAGCACCAGAGCTTAGCGGGGCGAAAGTAATTGTACCCACGTCTCACTGCGTTTTGTGAGTGCTTTCCTACCAGGATTTCAATCTCATGCAAGGCTCTCTTGGTTTTTAATTCAAATAAGACCCTTTTTATGGCTTGAATAAGGAGAGTGTGTGTGTGTGTGTTAGTGATACACGGTTCCTTCCTGCTGCTTCGGACACGCTGCGGAGTGAACTGTGCCGCACCTGGGGTTGATCAGCCGCGGTCTGGGCACATACAAAAGCACAGGGTGACGACAGGGACACAAAAGCAGGCAACGGAGGTTACATGACACTGTTAAATTACGTTCACGGCTTCACCTGTCAGTGTTCCGTCATACGGAGTGGTCTCCCCGGGGCGCCCTCCTCGGTGTCTGTCGCTGGCTGGCGCCTGCACACGGCCTCTGGTTCAGACCCCGCCCGTGGGGGTACCTGGGTGGCTCCTCCGAGGTCACCCAGGGCTGGTTCAGCTCCCGGGCACGCGCCTCCGGCCTCCGCTGCCGCTGCCGCCGCATTTCCTGCTGATGCGTCTCTCGGTCCCCGCCCCGCCCCGCCCCGCCCCTCCTCCAGGTTTCCGCCGACTGCGACTCCGTGTTCGTGAACGGCAAGGAGATGAAGGGCAGAGTGGGCACCACCGTGAGCTTCACCCACCAGCATTTCACCGCCCAGCTGGAGGTCACGGTGTGGGCGCCCCGGCTGCCCCTGCAGATCGAGGTCTCGGACACAGAGCTGAGCCAGGTCAAGGGCTGGCGGGTCCCCGTGGCCCCCAACAGGAGGTGAGGCGCCGGGGAGGGCGGCTGCCAGCGAGGATGGGGGCTGGGGCCCTGGGCCGAGCTGGGCAGGGGGGACACACGGGTCCCCCAGCGCCGTGCCCGGCGGCAGAGCCGGGGGGCTGGAAAATACAACGGGGACCGTTTTTTCAGTCTGTCGTCCAGTGTTTTTGATCCTGCGTCCCTCTGTCCCCCCAAGTCACGCTGTGGGGACAGCCGCCCCCCGCTCTGGGGGACGCACGTCGCCGCGTTACGGCGCCGCAGACGCAGTTCCCGGTGGCTTTCCCCGCGGTCCTCAGACGGTCTCCCCCCCCGCCCCGGGGCTGCTCGCCGCCAGCCGGCCGGGCTCCCGGGGGCAGCAGGCACCCGTTTCTGGGCCGCGGGGACTCTCAGAGGAGTCGGCTCCGAACCCGGGACAGGGGCCTGGGTGTCTCTGTGACCAGCTGTGTGGCCGGGACCAAGTTGCCGCTCCTCTCTGCCTCGGTTTCCCCACCGGGAGGCCAGGATAACGCAGCGCCCTCACCCCTCGGGCTTCTGTGGGGGCGGAAAGAGTCTAACGTGTGGCCCCCCCGGGTCACCACCCATCGCCACCTGGGCACGTAGGGCGGGGGCAGCGCACAGTAGGTCTAACTAACCCGAGCCTGTGAGCGGCTGCCCCTTCCTCTCCGACACAAACCCGCACCCACGGGTGCTCCCGGGCTGGTCAGCAGCCACCCAGCAAGGCCCTCTCCTGAAAGGACAAGGGACGGTTGGTCTGGAGGGGAAGGTTCTGGAATCCCAGAGCCAGAGAGGACGGGTGAGGTCTTCCCACCTGGACAGACCTGAGTCTCGGGGACACCCCGGGGGTGGGGAGGGGCAGCGGCCTTTCTCCCACTTGCAGGCGAGGACACCGGCCGTCGCGGGCGGAGCCCAGGGCCAGCAGGGAGCTGGAAGCCGGTCCCGAACCTGCCGCCCCCGCACGGACCGGAGGCCGGCGTCGCCCCTGAGTGGGGGTGGTTTTGAAATTACAGGTTTCCGGGACACGGGGCAGAGAGAAGCCTCCCCCTCTGTGTGTGGGGGAGGGGAGCAGGGACGGGCTCCCCCCCACGTGCCACGGGGGCGCCTGCAGGAGCGTCGCGGGCACCGGCGGACGAATGTGGGCGGGGCCTGAGCGGCCCTGGCGGGAGGAAGCGGGATCCCGTCCCCGTGGCCTTAGGGACTCGCGAGTCGAGGCGCGCGGCCCGCCTCCCCGCGGGGATGGTGACCCACGTGTGGTTTGTCTGCGCCCAGGCCCACGCGCGAGAGCGAGGACGAGGAGGACGAGGAGCGGCGCGGCCGCGGGTGCGCCCTGCAGTACCAGCGTGCCGCGGTGCGCGTGCTGGCGCAGTTCGTGGCCGAGGCGCCCGGCGCGGGCCCGCCCAGCTACCTGCTGGGCCCCGACTGGCAGCTGGACGTCACCGACCTGGTGGCGGAGTTCCTGACGGTGGAGGACCCGAGGGTCGCCCAGGTAGAGGCCGGCAGGACCCTGGTGGGCCGGGAGCCGGGCATCACCGCCATCCAGGTACCACTGGCTGGGGCCCCTCCGCCTTCAGGGTGCGGGCGGGGGCGGGGCCGGCGGGGGCGGGGCCCGGGAGTCTCGGGCGGCGTCTGCCCGGACGCCACCGGTAATCACCGAAACCCAAACCCATTTTTTGCATTTTAGAGAGATTCAGGGAAAATACTGAAGCTCTCTGACCCAGGCTCAATCCCGTGCATAGCTCGAGTGGCCTTTTCCCGAGCTAACGCGCTTTCTGGCGTGGCTGGGGGAGGGCGGCGGGCGGGGGGGGGGGGGGAGCCACTTCTGTTCTCCTCACCCCCCGGGGGTTAGCCGTCCAGCCCCACTGTGCCTTGACTAGCAGGCAAAATGGTCTTTACAAAGCATGTATTTGCATTAAAAGTAATTTAAACATCTACAGCTAAGTGCTGTCTACTTTGCCAGAGCAATAGTAAAACTATCTTTCAGCCGGTGTTGATAGGACAATTAGGCAGAGATGGTGTCGCACAGTTTCAACAACAGTGTAAAACGTTATGGCTCATAGCTGGGGCGTTTGAGGTGTCACCCAAGGTAAATTCCGACCCAGCTGAATTACACGTGTTACGTTTTGTATCACTTTTCTGTGGCTGTGTAGCAAGCCACCAGGAGGCCAGCGGCTTCCAACGCCGCTGGTGACAGGGGTCCAGGAGGCTGGGCTCCGGTCCAGCCCTGGGCTCTGAGCTCGGGGGGCCACGGGGCCCCACCCACGGGGGTGGCCCGGCCGGTGGAGACTTGGGAGAAGGGTTCCTCCGAGATCAGCTCTGGCGGCAGGCAGAGCGCCCCTCCCCCGGTGTGGGATGGCGGGGGGGCCGTTTCCTGGTTGCCTGTCAGCCCAGACGTCCCTCTGCCCCTCGGGGCCTCCTGTGCCCTCCTCCCCGGCCCCTGCTCCACCAGCCGCGCCCACTGAGTCCCCCTGACACTGTGAGTGTCTCCGGCGTCCGCCCGCAGCTGGGGCCATCCCCCCCGCCCTCAGGGCCTCCCGCACCTGCCCTGGACCCGCCTGGAGAACCGGGGCAGTGCCCCCGTGTGAAGGCCACCTGCGCCGTGTGACGATAACACGACCCCGAGAGCAACCCCGGGGTCACAGGCGGGACGGACGAGGTGGGCCACCACGGCTGGGGGCAGCGGGGCCTGGAGCTCTGCCTGCCGGGCAGTCCGCTCCGTGGGCTCATCGGCCGGGTTCCCGACGAGGTGGGGAATGAGGAGGGGGACTCCCCCAGGTTAAGATTCCCTCTCCCACTCCGTGGTCACTCCCCGCAGGGGGCAGCTAGGTGCCCCGAGAGGCCATATGCGCAGGCGGTGGCCGATGAGCCCTTCTCCGCCATTTCCCCGCAGTTCTGCCGGTCCCCCCCTCCCACCCCCGAGTGTTAGTGGTCGGGGCGGGGGCGGGGGGAAGCCCCTCCTGGGCGTGCGGCACCGGGGCCGGCAGCGTGTAGGTGTCGCCTGCACGTTCCATCGAGCTCTTCTCAGAAAACACGCTGCCGCTACCGCGGTGTGAGTCACGGGGGGAAGTGGACGCAGGTGGGGCGCGAGCCCACACGCCTTCCCTACGGGCCCCCGGGGAGCGGAGGACTGGGGGGACCCTTCGGGGTTTAAAGCGGAGTGCGGGGCGGGGACCGGAGCTCTCTGGCTTCCCTCCTCTGCAGGTCCTGTCGCCGCTCTCGGACTCCATCCTGGCGGAGAAGACGGTGACCGTGCTGGAGGACCGCGTCACCATCGCTGACCTGGGCGTGCAGCTGGTGGCCGGCTTGTCCCTCTCCCTGCAGCCCCACAGGGCGGACCGGAGGGCCATCGTCTCCACGGTGACTGCCCAGGAGGTCCTGCAGGCCCCCCAGCAGGTAGGGTTCCGGGGCCCCTGGTGCAGTCTCCTTGGTGCTTCCGGCGTCTCATCCGGGCGGCTCCTCTCCAGGTGCTCGGGGACCTAGAGACAGGCCTCGCGTGTTCCTGTCCACGGACCCTGTGCCCGTGGGCCGTCTGCCCCCTCCGTCTGCTGCCGGCCCACGGCCACAGGGCCACGCGTTTCCCTTTTGCGGGAGCCCCTGCTTTTCGGTGCTTGGGAGTTCCACGGTGGCGTGGCTCCCGGGCACCGGGTGGCTGCTGCTTATCACGTGTTCACCGTCACTGCTTAAACCCTCCCACACCTTTAAACTGTCCCACGCCGCTCGTGAGGACCGCAGGCCTCCGTGAGCATCTCGAGACCTCTCCCCGGGGCCCTCCTGGCCGGTGGGTGTCCTCCGCCCCGCCCGCCTGGGCGTCCGGGGACAGAGGCCCCCGGTGACACCGTGTGCCGCCGACGGCCGGTAGCTGCCCCTGGATTTGGTTCGGATAAACTGCCTGGCCTTTCAGTGCGTTTTCCGGGGGTCAGAGCCAGAGTCTGCGGTACGGCGCGCAGTAGGTTGACGTGCCCTTCTGCGCGCTTATTGAAGCGAAGTGTCCGTCTCTCATGTGCGTGGGCCGGTTCTGGGCGGGCGGCGGCCATTCAGAGCGGTAAGACGTAGAACTTCGTCTGTCTTCCTGCCTGTGTGTGAGGGGTTCGAGGCAGGGAATCGCTGGTGTGTTGGCGAGTTGGGAGACCCCGATGGCAACGAGACGCCTTGGTTTCGTTTCTCCTAGGAAGCCATAGTCAGCTCCTGGATCCTGTTCAGCGACGGCGCGGTGACGCCCATGGACCTTTACGACCCCGAGGACTTCTCCCTGGCGGTCTCCTCGCTGGACGAGATGGTGGTGTCCGTCCAGGCGAGCCTGCAGCCCAAGTGGCCGGTGGTGGCCGCGGAGGGCGAGGGCCAGGGGCCCCTGATCAAGCTGGAGATGATGATCAGCGAGCCCTGCCAGAAGAGCAAGAGGAAGAGCGTCCTGGCCACGGGCAAAGGCCAGGTCAGGGTCAAGTTCGACCCGCACGTCGACCGGCACCAAGGGGGCACCAATGACATCGAGGGTGCGAGCCGGGACTACACGGACCCCCTCAGCAATGCCATAGGGCGCGAGGGCCACCAGGAGAGGGCGGCGCAGGAGTGGCTGCCACGCGGCGGCGTCGCTGCCGCGGGCCCGGAGGACAGAGGCAACGGCAGCAGCGTGGCCCCGCCACCCCCCGCAGAGAGGAAGGACAAGGGGCTGCTGAGGGGCGGCGGCCCGGACGCCTCCACGAGCTTCCCCGCGCGAGGGCGGCCCCGGGAGCCCAAGCCGTCCAGGGAGCTGACCGTGGCCTCCCGGGGGCTGAGCGACCTGGAGATCGGCATGTACGCGCTGCTGGGCGTCTTCTGCCTGGCCATCCTGGTCTTCCTGTCCAACTGCGTGGCCTTCGCCTGGAAGTACCGGCACAAGCGGTTCGCCGTGAGCGAGCAGGGGCCCGTGCCGCACTCGCACGACTGGGTCTGGCTGGGCAACGAGGTGGAGCTCCTGGAGAACCCGGTGGACGTGACGCTGCCGTCGGAGGAGTGCACGACCGTCCTGGACCGCGGGCTGCCCTTCGAGGAGCGGGACTTCCTGCTCAGCGGCGGCTCCCAGAAGGCCTTCCACAGCCACCTGCTCGGGCCCGCGGACTACGTCTACGAGAAGGACGCGCGGAACGAGCCCGGCACGCCGTCGTCCTCGGGCCCCAAGCGGAAGAGGGTCAAGTTCACGTCCTACACCACCATCCTGCCCGAGGACGGCGGCCCCTACACCAACTCCATCCTGTTCGACGGCGAGGACAGCATCAAGTGGGTGTGCCAGGACGTGGGGCCCGGCGGCCCCCCCCCGGGCTTCCGGGACTACCTGGGGGGGCTGCAGGGCCAGCTGTGAGCCGCGCCCCGGAGTTCGTATTCACCTTTATGCCTTCTGTTTTCGCAGCGCTGGAGCGGCGAGGTCGGTTAGCAATAGGGGGCGACTCGGCAGTGCTGACGTCGTGGGGGCCGGCTGGGGGGTGGAGGGGCCCCCCCCCCCCCCGTGCTCGGGCGGCTCAGGGGCCGGAGAGCTGGCGGGGCCGGCCAGCTGGCTAAGCCGGGGAACGTCTCCAGAGCAGCCCCGCGCCGGCCCGGGTGCGCCCTACCACCAGTCCGGTCTGCGGCTGGCCCCAGCTCCGTCCCCGACCCGGGACGGCCCCGCCCCCACGGGCGCTGCTGGTCCTCTGCTGCCGCGCGGCCGTGCGGAGTGGGGAAGGACTCGGCGTTGATTTTTCTACTCCTCGACCTTCTAAAGCACAGTGGGCGCCTCCGGCCCCGGGCCCGAGGCTGGACACGCACGAGAGACGCCGAATGTAGCCGCCCTTCGGGACGACGCTGCTCCTGGGTTTTATACGCTCTCCCCCCCCCCCCCGCTTCCCGGGCCCCCCCGCGGCCCTCCCGGGGACAGGAGGACGGGCCGCGTCCCCCTCCCCCTCCTCTCTGAGCTGTTCGATGTCCATGCGTTTCGTCGCGTCACGTTCTTCCCCGTGGGGCGGACAGGAGGTTCGCCACGTCCCTTCTGGGGTGTCCACGCAGAAAGCCCGGTTCTCCCTGGTTCTCCCCGCTTCCCCCTGTTGGGGGCGCCATTCCAGAAGCTTCCGCTCCCTCGTCTCCCCTCTGTCTCGTGGCCCGAGTCTCTCTGGCGTCCGGCGGGGACGTGGGGTTTTACTGAGACCGTGTGCGCACTGCGAGGGGGGCCGTGTCTTCACCATTGTTCCCTCGGTGAAGCGTGACCGCCCTGGGGCGGCGCGGGGGCCCGCCGACCGTGGCCTGACCTCCCGCGTGTGGGCGGTTGCCGGGGGCGCCTGGGGTGCGTTTCTGGGGCAAAAGGCCCCCAAACAGCTGTGTTTACACCAGTGCTTTTCGGTCGGCTCAGCCCAGCCCGTTGTCGTCCGGACCGAAGTCCAATGTGAGAGCGACGCGCACGGGGCAGAAACTGCGCAGGAAACGGCTTCCGGCTGGGCTTCCCGTCTCGCCGGAACACAGACACGTTTTTAAAACACAGAGTGATGGTTTCACTCAGCAATATGTACAGACCCACCCACACCCTCACCCTCCCCCCTGCCAAAAAAACCCCTCCAAAAACAAAGTCTCCCCGCCATGACTCTGGCAGCGATGAACCCACCCAGGGTGTGGTCCGATGGAGGAAAGGGAGGCGTTTTCAGCCCGAAATCCGTAAAAGTAGGTGGCTTCTCAGAGCCCCAGAAGCAGCTTGATGGAAACGCAGAGCTGTTGGAAAATCAAAGGGGAGGGAGAGAGAGGGAGAGAGAGAGGGAGAGAAGCATGGTTCCTACAGAAGTTTTAAATACAAATGTTTTTCAAAGAGCAGCGTGAACCGTGTGAAGCAGACCGAGGCTTTGAACTTGAGAGACTGTGAGGACGACTTTATTTATGGCGGCGGCGGTGGGGGGAGGCGATGCCTGGGCACCGGATCCGGAAGCCGCATTCCCAGCTCCCCGGGCCGTCTGGGTCCCGGAGAGATGGCGCTGGAAAGGCCCGGGGGGGGAGGGGGTGGGCGCCGGCCTGCAGGAGGTTGCTGGAGCGGGTCCCGGACCCCGGCCGGCTGGTGACTGGCTGGTCCTCGGAGAGGCGATGGACGGCTCCCTTGGAGATGCATGCGCACGGGAAGGTGACCCCCCAGTCTCGTGCAGCTGGAATGCGGCGGCCCCCAGGTCCTGCCTGTGTCTGGCCCACGGAACCCGCTCGCTGCAGACGTGACCAGTGACGCAGGCCCGTGTTCCCGGGGCCGGCGAGCTCGTGTTAAACGTGGGGGTGAGGGGGTGAAGCTGGGGCCCCAAGTGCTGGCTGTTTGTAAGGGGATGGCTGACGCCTCACAGGACCAGCCGTCCTCGGGGGCTGGGTGGGCGGGGCTGGGGGGAAGGCCCCGAGTGGGCGGAAACCTCCGGAGCCGTGCTCCCCGTGGGGCAGTTTCGGTTTTGTCTCCGGGGCCGTGGGGGCTTCGTGTTGGGCGCCGGGCCATCCTGAGTGGCGCCCTCCGCAGCTCCGAGGGCCGGCTGTGGCCCAGGGGCAAACGGGGGAGGCCGGGGCCTCGGGGGGCTCTGCAGCCGAGCCCGGAGCAGACGGCCACCGGGAGGCATCCCCTGCGGGTCCGTGAGAGCCACCTGGGGTGACACAGGCTCCTCACAGTCGCCGCCTCGGTTTGTGTTGAAACTCCGTGCAAACTGAAGGTCAAGTGCAAGGTCGTAGAGGAGGGGTCCGGTCAGCACACGCGTCTCACATCTCTGCACACAGACACACGTGCACCCACGTGTGGGAGCGTGAACAGCGAGGAGCCACGGAACACGGCGTTTAGTGAGTCGGCAGTGACCGTCCGCTGGCGTGGGCACCGTGCGCCTGGACAGAGCTTCGCCGAAGGTCTCTCTGCTCTCAGCGTGGACCATGTGGGCCACGGGTCGCGTCTGCGTGTCCTCCCGCGGCTCGGTTTGAAATGGAGAGGAAGACGATGCCCCAGGACATCGGAGCAAAGGTGGGGGAGCGACAGGAAACACAGTGTCCCAGGGGCTGCCCGTTTGCCTGGGGTTTGCAGGTTTTCACCCCTGAGCACCCCACCGGGTCGGAGCTGAGGGTGTGAAGGAGAAACACCTCTGGCAGAGTCCCTTCCACGCCCACGAGACGCCGCGGCCGCCCAGGGCAGACTCCAGCACGCCGCTGCGGGGGGTGGGCACCAGGCTGCCAGCGCTGAGTCACGGTGCGGGGGGACCCAGACAGCACAGGACTGTGGCGTGGGAGAGAACGCGAGGAGAAAAGACACCGGAAGCTTCTCCCGGAACCTTCCCTTGAAAGAACGCCCCCTAGCAAACCCCAGAACGCCGCGTCCGCCCCACCCGGGGGAGCCCGTGGCCTCCTGGCTGTCCTGTCTGGCACCCTGGCCGGCGCGGGTCCCCCGGCGGCAGTGACCCTCCCACTCGGGGCGGGGTTTCTTCCGTCCACAGGGACGCCGGGAAGGTGGGCCCCATCCGTCCCCGCGGCCACGTCTGTAGACAGTGTCGTGCGTGTTTCGGTCAGCGGTCTCGTGACCACGGTCCAGCCTCTGACCCCGGTCAGCGGCCACAGCGAGCAGGTTCCTCTGCTCCCCCTTGTCCTGGGCCCCTGGGCTCCCTGCTCCGTCCATCTCAAAAGTGGTCCCCATTCTCCATTGCTGTCTGCGTCTGCGACACCGTCTGGGTCACACCCCCGGCAGCTGTCCCCGCCCCCGTCAGAAACTCCCACGTGTGACGTAACCGTGCCGCCCGCCGTGCGGAGGGACCGCGGTGGCCAGGTCATGCCAACGCGCGGGGAGCAGATATTTTTGTATGTAATATAGGCAATATACTAGGACACCGAGCCGTGCGTCACGACAAGTACACTTTTTAAACTAAAAGCATGAAATCCGTAGCGTTCACTGTACAGACCCCGCCCCGCGCCCGCGCCCGCGCCCGCGCCGGTGGTGGGAGGACGGGGACCTGGCGCCGGGGGGAGCGCCGGCCCGGGGCGGGGCGGGCGGGCGGGCGGGGCTCGCCCCGTGACTGTGCGTGGAACCTGCCAGAACATTTTAATCTCATTTGTCATTGCTTTTGGATCTTTTCCCCCCTTTTCCTTTTTTTTTTTTCTGGAAATATTTCAGAAATAAAGTGACTTCATTTTCCAGCCTAAAAGTATATTCTAACCACAGGGTAGTGCGTCCTTTTTAACCCGGAAATAAACGCTTAGACCTTCTTCGCTGGTGCCGTTATTTCAACCGTGTGTTCCCACGGCGTCCGGGGGCCGTGGCTGTGTGTGGTGTGGGCCCCCCCCCGCCAGCGCTGGGGCACTGCCTCCTGGGGGCTCAGGAGGAGGCCGGTGGGGGCCCGTCCCTGCCCAGGGTCGGCCGGGCCGGGTCCAGCAGCAGGCATGAGGGGCGTGGTGGCCCCGGCCTCCATCCCCCTGCAGGTCCTTCCTCGGCGGGGGCCGCCTGTGCGATCCTCCCCCCAGGATCGGGGGAGGGGCAGGACTGGGCGCTGTGAGCCTTCTGGGTGGGGGGCACCTCGGATGCTGCGGGCCTCCTCTCAGGCCTTTGGGCGAATGCCACCCTCGCTTTTAGGGTGAGACGGGCACCACTGGGCACGTCACGGTGTGTCCCGCCGCAGCCTGGCCTCGCCCGGGGCCCTGTCCCCTCACCGGAGGGAGCCGGCGGGGACACTGGCTCGGCCGAGACACTGAATGTGGGGGGAGCGGCCCCCCGAGGGGCCCGGGCGCCCTCTCCCAGCCGAGCAGGCCCCCGTCCGGGCGAGGGCTGTCCCTTCTATTCTGTGTATTTCCCCCATTTTAACCCATGAATTCTTCAGTCACTTATTCGCTCCTGTTTGTCGAAAGTGGATTAAAACCCTGGTGGGCGGTGGCGCACTCCACGGCCGCTGGTGTTGAGCCGTCTCTCGGTGCCGTCGGAGGTGCGGGCCCTCTGCCGTGGGAGCACCGTCGGGGGGTCCACGAAATGGAGGGAGTGACGCAGGGGCGGCTGCGGACCGGACACTGTGTGTGCTCTCAGAGCAGCCGCTTCCCTGCCCCCCCCCCCTCGCCCCCTGCTGTGTGCGAACATTGGCCCAGGGTCAGCAGGGCTCTGTGGTCCCGGCCAGCCGGACCAGAGGACCCGCGGGGGGCGAGGTGGGGGCTGCTCGTCCGGGGAGACCCCTTGGGGTGATGAGGTAGGGGTGACAGAGGTCCGTCCTGCCTCTTGTGGCCCCAAACACGGAGGCGACCTTCTCACGGGAAACTGGAGAGCCGCTGCTGTTCCTCAGTTTTTGAAAAGATTTATTTATTTTTAGAGCGAGGGAAAGGGAAGGGGACGGAGAGGGGGAGAAACGTGGACGTGAGAGAAACGTCGATCAGTTGCCTCTTGTTGGTTGCCCCCCCGCCCCCCCACCGGGAGCCAGACCCGCAGCCCCGGCGCGTGCCCTGACCGGGACTCGGGGGCCTCGAGGGACCACTCCCAACCCGCCGCGCCGGTCAGGGCTG